ATACCAAGGAAGATGGGGAGGCAGACACACAAAGCATCAACAACCCAGCTTCCCATTCAAACCTGACACCAACCGTGCTGAACTCCCTTGTCATCTCTCCTTCAAAGTCCGTCACAAGGCCCACTCAAGCCCTTAGTCCTATCAGAAAACCGCCCTTAGGGCTGAGCCATGGAAGCTATCTGGAGAACAGTGATAGGGGAAGGGCATATAGTCGGCCAGGCTCATTTGACTCCAAGATCAACGGAAACCTGAATGAAAACCAAGATGGACACATACGGTCTGTTGCTGTTGTTAAAAGCTCAGAAGTAAGTGGACAAATGTTATAAATTAATCCCATCATTATTATACCTTAGTAATAATGTCTTGTAAGAGTAATTTTTCGTTAAGTAAAAAGTGTTTAGATTTATATATTTTGACTTCTAGATTGCAAAATATTGTCTGATCAGCATGTAATTTTGACAGCTCAGTCTCTCAGTCTCAGGAAGTAAGGCAAAGGATATTATAACAAGTAAAGAAAAGGATGAGTATATTACATGCAAGAATAGGTGCAAAATTGCCATGAACATAATGAGTGCTTCATCAAGTTTTGAATTTTGTCATGTCTCGTAAGAAACTGGGTGTGTGATTGTGTGTGTGTGTGTGTGTGTGTGTGTGTGTGTGTGTGTGTGTGTGTGTGTGTGTGTGTGTGTGTGTGTGTGTGTGTGTGTGTGTGTGTGTGTGTGTGTTTTCTGTATCTTTTGAAATGCAATGGAACATCAGTGTGAATGAACTGCAGGAGAATAGATTAAAGCTGTTTTCTTATGGAAATGTTTCAGTTATTGTAGCACTTTGTTTTTTTTCTAGGTCGAATTTCCTGTTCAGTTTCACGAACTGCAGTCTAACACAGATCTTAAGATGCCTCCCTCAAACTGGCTACAAGACCATTCTTCAATTAGATTACCAAATCCTACTCACAAACATGCTGATTTTTCAAGGTAGGAAATGCAGTGCTTGGTAATTTAAAGCTGCCACTCCCATTAATATTAGAGTCTTTGATTCTGATCTGAAATTAATTTGTCACTTTTGATGCACCACCTTTTTTTATTATTCCATATATGTTATTACATATGGATGATTAATTTTATACCATAGATGTTTTACAGAAAATTAATTTCCTAGTTTGCAGGTACCTAGTTACCACAAATTGTACATTAGAAGTAATGCTAACATAATGGTCATTTTCTTCAGCTTCTTGATGGCTCACCAGTTCCTAGATTGCATAGGAGAAGTAGATGTGATATCAGATGCTGAGAATATAAAGAAGTTGCTGAAGATCCCCTACAACCCCAAGGCACATGTGAGCATGATGATTCACCGTGTGGGCAAGACACTCCTCATTGACGAGTTTGACATTTACAAGTACCTGCTTAGGCAGTCAGAGAAGGAGTGGCAGTGGCTGCGAAAGTTCTTTTTTGAACATGTGCTTCAATCACTTGCACACAAGGTGAGAAAGTTAGACAGTTCTTGCTTTTATCTACTTGATCTGGATGTATAGTATTGTCTCAAACACTAGTGATAGACATATAGATTCTTAACCCACAAAAGACAGGCATTCCACTGGTCGGATGCCCAGAGCATGGACCATTTCTGGGCATCTTATATGTGAGACGCTATTGTCCTCGGTCACCTGCCAGGTATCTCATGTGTGAGACGTAATGCATAGACCTCATTAATATTTGTTATGTCTACCTGGATATATCCAAGATGATTTCTTATTGCACATGTTAACCACAAGTTACATCATAAGGTCATAGTTGTTATTATTTGAATTTACCTGGAGTTGATGTCATAAAGGAAAGAGGGAATTGAAGAATTACGAGCAGAGTGAAAGAAAATGACAGACAGAAAATCAAAATGAAAACAAAAACAAAAGTTGAGACTAAGAAGGGAGGAAAGGAGAGTTAGATAGATGGATGTGTAGAATAATAGATAGACAGAGCCAGGCAGGTATGCATAGATAGATAGGTAGATAGATAGAGAGACAGAGAGGCAAAGAGACAGATAGATAGACAGAGTCAGGCAGATAGGCAGATGAAGTGACATCATGAAGTGACATTGTGGAGAGTTACGTCATGAACTGACGTCATGTAGAGTTATGTCACAAAGTGTTGTCGTGGAGACTTGCATCATGAAGCTGAGGTAGTGACATCATAATCACCATATTTACTTTCAAGACATAAAAAGGAAGTGATGTCACTTTACAGCCACCATCTTACTTCCACATAGGCTTAGTAGTCAATAACATCACATAAGGAAGTAATGTCAGTACACTAGTCTCTGATGTGATTGGTCAATTTATATGACATGTTACCCATGTTGCTTTGATCTCAATGGCTACTGTTGGTTCCATGTTCCTGGCCAGGAATTATCCTGTATATATAGAGGTGCTTGCACATCATTTATTACTCGCACCTTAGGGTGCTTCGAGGCTTGGCATACAGCCCAGTCATGGTATCTTCTGTGGGAAAAAAGTAAAGCTATTTATTTATAAAACTCTGATTTATCTTCTTGATACCTTGACAAGGGTGTTACAGAAAGTAACACAAATGACATTATTAGAGTTTGGACACTATACTAAAACTTGCAACCACTGCAACGAATGTTGAGATTGCATTTTAGCCCTACAGGCACACAGAACATTATGTTCATTTCTCAAAAACATAACCTTCAGTATGCTCCCAAGGCAATAAAAGAGGATTAAAATCAAAGTTTATGCTATGATTTGTTTTCCTGAGGTGTGTGGTTCGTGTGGGAGTCCCCAGCAGCGGCCATGCGCTGATATAGATACCATCCAGAAATAAGGGTGTATGGCACTCCAAAAGATACTTCACTAGTTCCTAGTGAAGGTACTGCAATAAAACAACAACAAAAATTGCACTAGATTTAAGAGTCCGAGGCATTTCCAGTTGTTCATATGTAAAGTAAATTCAAGCTACTGACTTTTTTTGAAGTCACCAAGGAGAATAAAACTGTTGATGAGGATGGGATAAAGACAAGTAAAAGGTTGGGAACTCCTGGATTTAGCAATCATAAATCCATTAAACTAAGATTTTATATTCTAGGAAAATGTACTTGTGAGGCCCAACAAGAGTCGCAATGTTGTGCAGAGTCGGAGTCTCCTATCAAAGTTTTTGTACCATAGTATCAATGAAGAAGAGAACCGTCCTGCAAGTCCCCCTAGCCAGCCAGAGACAGAGAGTCCAGTATCTGTGCGACGTGTAAGTTTTTTCTTTCTTTCTTTTTTAAGTCTGTTTCAGACAAAAGAAAAGAAAAAGGTATTGCAAATAAGGATAAAGATAGTAATAATTGCTATCACTGTATGTGAGATAATGACAGGAAAAGCTTTAGTCAGAAATAGAATATGTATACTCGAAGTTTATTACTTTATGTTCAGGTGCATATAAAGAGGTTCTGGCTAAATGTTTGCCATTTTTCATGCTGAGACTTACATTATGGTGTATTGCAACAGTATTATTACAGATATATTACTAGAAATTTTGAACTTGAGACATATATGAAGATTAGCTCAATATTTTAATGGTCATTTTTATGTTTGTGTTTTGACTAGATAAATGAGTATTCTCTCCCCAGAGAAAGATTTTAAATACTGACAGAATATAAGTTTGGGTTTTCTGCTCAAGGAAATGTGCTTCAAGGCTGGTATTTAATGGGAACTATACTTATTAGTTATCCAGAAAATTACAGAAACTGTTTTCTGAAATCTCATTTAAAAGAATCTATGTGGAAGTTTCTCTTCTGAAATGTACTATAAAGGGATTTGCTTATTTTAACATTTTGTTTTCCTTTTACTCAGGAACAACGTAGACAGAGTGATGTACTTGTAAGGCAAAAATATTTTATGTCAGTTTACTAGAAACATAGTTATGCACATGTAGAAGCATCTGCAAAGTTCTTTTTTAACAAATAGACTGCAGATAACATTCAAATTGTGTCAGTTTTGTTTCACTTATGTTTTTCCATTTGGTATTAAACCTGTCTTCCTACAATTTACAGGAAGTGTCTTTTGGGAGTAAGAGCCGTGACATTTGCTTCAACTTGTATCTCTGTCTCCATAAGCATGTCCTTCTCATGACTAATCAAAGGACGTGGACTTTCTTGCTACTGCCACAATTGTCATCTTTCATTTAAAAAGAAAGAGAAAGATGGGAAAAATGCACCAAGAAAATGAAGTGTTGTAGTTATGATGTCTGTGAGAGAAATTTTATGTTGTGTCATAGTGGGAGATGTGATTAATGTTCTTGGAACCATATTTTCACAATTTTTTTTCTGCATTTTTTCCTTCCCTTCTTCCTATCTTTCCTCTATGGTACATCTGCCACAGGAACTCCTTATAACACCTCTTCCTTTCCTACCACATCTTTTCTCCCATCTGCATTCTTTCCCCAGTAACGTGAGGAAGAATACAGTCAAAGTACACTTGAAAAGGGATTGCTGAAATGATAGATACTGTCATGTCTGCAGTATGAAACATACCTTTCTCTTAGAGAAAAGTATTTTGATCAAATCAGTCTTTAATGACTAATGAATGTCTTTTATTTTAAATGACATTATTACATAAAACCATTTTCTTGGTGCATGTATGGATGTGCCAATGAATTGACATTGAATCACTAACCTTAAGAATGTAAGACACCAGGGTTTTTTACACCTGCTATACCTCAGTTGAATACTGTGCTGAGGATTTAGTGTAGAAAACTCCTTTCACATCCTTCAAATATAGTAATTGTTTGAGTGATGGTAGACTTTGTACGTGTCATCAGAGACAAGAAGAGAAGGTCAGCAAAAGTCATTAAACTCATATACTGTAACTATGTTTTTCATGCTGTATTTGTTCTTCACTGCCATTATAAATGTTAAAGAGAAGTGGTTTGTAAGGAGTTATGCTATGCTATAATTAACCACTAGATTCACTCATTAGAACTAGTGATAGGTTCTCTACTGCAAAATAATCACATGTAAATATTTAGAATGAAAATGTGAATATGATTTCTTTCAAAGCAAAGATTCATAGCCCTTTTTGGTCTTTTGCACTGCTGATGTTATTTTATTAAATGAATATAACACTGAAGAAATCAGTGTCTAGCCAAAGATTGCAGAATAGATTTGATTGCATATTCTCTCTCTCTCTCTCTCTCTCTCTCTCTTCTCTCTCTCTCTCTCTCTCTCTTCTCTCTCCTCTCTCTCTCTCTCTCTCTCTCTCTCTCTCTCTCTCTCTCTCTCTCCCTCTTCTCTCTCTCTCTCTCTCTTCTCTCTTCTCTCTCTCTCTCTCTCTTCTCTCTCTCTCTCTCTCTCTCTCTCTCTCTCTCTCTCTCTCTCTCTCTCTCTCTCTCTCTCTCTCTCTCTCTCACTCTCTCTCCCCCCTCTTTCACTCCCTCGCTCTTTCTTCGTATGCTTCTTCTTTCTTGATGCGTTTTTTTCTTACATCTTGCTTTCCTTCCTTGGTTTAGACATTTTTACAGTATGGGAAAAAACTGATTAAAGGTAACAATACTCAGGTATGCCTTACATTTATTTTCATTATTGTCTCTTATTATTACCTTTATGCAAATTCACAATACCACTTGTATATATTGATCACATTTTGCAAAAAATATTTTTGGTGCTGGTTGCACGATTTTTTATTTGTTTCATATTCTGGAAATTTATATGATTTACGTAAAGTTGGTTATTTATTGTGGAACATTACAAAGAACAGATGTTACATTATATAAAGGAATGCACATCTGAAAGTGTTCTCAGACCATAGGCCAAGAAATTTATTTATTTAATGTTTAAACTTTCATCTATAACATAAAAATTTATTTGTTCATCTTGATGCATTATGATCATAAAATAGTTGTGCATTAATGTGAACATGTCGGTGCTTATGTTATAGATTAAAGTTAAACATAATAGAACATCTAAGAAATGCATTTTGAGTATTTTTCTGAAATTGCAATTGGATGCGCATACCCACTTTTAATGCTATATGAATATTTAATGAATCAATATTTTTAATTATCTACATTATTGAAATATGAGGTTGATTTTTTATTGCTATAAACAGAAAGTGAGGATATGGAAAGGACAGCCATTAATTTTATTGGCCTTGTTAAGAGATGCATTTATGTATGTTATAAAGAACCTAGTGAAAACTCACCACATATCTTACGGTGAGAATCATAATTTATCGATATCACTAATCTCACGACACCTCATAATAATCTCAAACCTTGACACACAGCCCTCAGTGCTACGGAACGAAGTTATGCCTGAGCCCACCATAGAGGACCAGCTGCCGCAAGCTTCGGGCCAGACTTTTACGAGAAATGTGGTGTGGAACTTTGAAGACTTGCACATGCTCATAGGGACTGATTTGCCTATCTTTGGAGGAGGAACTCATCCTTGTGTGTCTTTGAGGCTGAGGGATATGAACAAGCCAATCAACATATTGACAGGTTAGAGATTGATGGTTTTTGTAGAAAAGGTATGAATGAGAATGAATATTTTCATAGTGCAAAAGATGTATTTGACTGAATTTGATTATATCTGATGAAATTATAGTCAAAACCAGCCATATATCCTTCTTCATTGCAAAAATATTCATTCTCATTTATGTCTTATTTACATTTCTCACAATGAACAGAGGTCAGAGATAGTTCTATCTTTTCCTTAGTCTTGTTTTTTTTTTTGTTCTTTTGTCATCATCTTTTGTCTTCTTTTAGCCTGTAAAATGAAATATTTGAAACTTTAAAAAGTATGTTTCTTGAAAGAAACATACTTTTGTCTTACATCTCAAAAGTATTTTAATGAGAAAGCATAGATTATGCTATCTATAGTTCACAATGTATTGATATTTGCATTGATAATGCACACAAATGTAATCTTTAAGGCTAGAATTGTACTAGAATAGAACCATTTGTCCTAACAAATTCATCTCTATTACTATACCCCTGTTACATGAATCTGTGTAAGAATAAAGAATGGATCATTTTGTTACAAACAATATCCTTTTCCAGGTATAGACTATTGGCTAGACAACCTCATGTGCAATGTACCAGAAGTTGTCATGTGCTACCACCTGGATGGGATTGTTCAGAAATACGAGCTCATCAAGACTGAAGACCTCCCACACATGAGCGACTCACAATTCTCACCAACACTGGTACGAGATGTCGCCCAGAACATCTTGTCCTTCCTTAACAGCAAAGCAACTAAGGAGGGGCATACATATTGGCTTTTCAAAGGTGGGTTTAAAAGGTGAAAATGCAAAAGAGGGAGTAAGATATAGAAAAGAATAAAAGGGAGAAAACATAGCTTTTACTCTTTCAGTGTTATTAGGTAAGAGTGAAGCTTACATACCATCTGAGTGATAAACCTAATGCCCACCTTTTTTGTCCTATAGTCAAATCACATTATACATTCATTACATTGTCTTGCCATATCACTACAGGAAAGGATGATGACATAGTCAAGCTATACGACCTCACCTCACTGTGCATGGAGGGCTGCATCAGTGTGGATGGGTTAGAGGAAGAGACGCAGAATGAAGATGCAAGCAACCCCTTTACCGTGCCTGTGGCCATGCTCTTCTATAGGGTCGCCAAGAACATGCGCACCTCAGAGGATGCCCAGAATAAGATTGCAACAATAAGGGCCTTGTTACGGAACTCACTGAGCCTGCTAAACAAGAATGAATATCCAAAAGTGAGTGAGACTATGCAAATACAAGTTAGAGTAGTGAATCATAGCTGTAGAATTTGTGCTCTTACATTTTATTTCTTAAAGTTTTATTATTGCATTTTAGTTTTAGATCTTAGATTTTTCTTCTTGTAAGATTTGTAGAAGTTATCTTTTTACATTACTCCATATAATTAATTGAGGCATTATTGGTATTGAAAAATTCATCAACCCAATGATTTATATAGCAAAAAAATACATGCCATGTCCAATGTAGATTAGGTTATTGATTGTGTTTACACAGAGATGGCTCCACAAGGAGTCAATTATTAGTTCTACCTATCCCACCTGTTTACCCTTTTCCTTGATTTCTGGAAAGATTTTTTATTGTATTATTTTTATTAGTAGTAGTATTTTGATAACATTATAATAATCATAATATCAATAATAAGAACAGTATTGGTATAAATAGCATTTGAAAAAATAATAATAATATTTCAAATTTATGGAATGGGGAAATTGGGCACAGTTACTAGGACCTACTAATTGTCTCCTTGGTACCTGAGCATTTGTGGAGCCATCTGTGTGCAACAGCAACAACAACAACAACAAAAATATAGGGAACAGTACATATGCCCAGGTCCAATAGGTTAGTTATGTTCTGTGTATATTTTACTGATGTTTTTAATTATTCATTTATTATGAAAAAAAAATGCACTGAAGATTATCATATATTTACTTTCCAGATTGTCTCCTCAGCACATTACATGCTCTCAGACCTTTATGTACCCCAAGACATTGACCCAGACTCCCCAGTTTTGTCGGACTGTAGTGATGAAGACAGTGAGTGGTCCTCTACTGTCAGTAGTGACAACGAGGACCAGAGTGATGATGAATGCAATGCAGAAGACCACTCTGTCACCCTTTCGAACCGTAGTTCTTCAATTAAGGTTTCATCGCTCTGCTTCCCCCATGCCAATAAAACACAGTCGCAGCATTATAAGTATGTTCTGTTCTCGGTAATGTGCATATCTATATAGTTTTCTGCAATAGTTAAATAACATGTAGAAGAGAGCAAAAGCACACACATGTAGACAGTATATAGACAAATTGATAGGTTGGTTGTGAGATTACTTGAAAGTCATGTTAGCTGTCATATTATTTATTTCAGTATATAATTATTTCAATACACAAATACTTAGAAATTGTCTGTTTCAGAGCCCCTCCCCTGTTGGGTACACTTGAGGAGCGATGCCATTGTGCTCTTAATCATGTGATAGAAGCCCTACAGTGCCTACACATCTCAAGTACAAGTGAGAGGGAGCATCACAGCTCCCCAAGAGGACAAGAGCCCATGTGTTCGAGAAGTCACCAGGAAGAAGAACCAAAGATGGCAAGGCCTTTTGAGCCAATTCCCATGCCATATTCTCCCCTTAATGCAGAGAAGCAGGATGAAAAGACAGCCCTAGTGGTAGCCAAAGATAAGACAACTGACCATAGGCTGACTGTGTCCTTATTTAGTCAGCAGTATGCTGTAGCGAGTTGGTGGGATAAGCTGCATGTGCTAGTACTGAGAAAAGCATCATTGGTGTACCTTGTTATGGCAAGGAGTTGCTTCAATAGCCAAAGGTAAGATGACAATTCTCTTTTGGTATTATATCAGGTATTGTTATAATGTATTGTAATATTGTGTATGATTGGCTTTCAAAGTTTACATTATTTTGTTACACCAAGAAGTAGTAGTACTGGAATAGGTAAATTATCTTTGTATACTCAAACCACTCATTATACTGTAGATTTCTCATTCAGATGTCCCTTTCAGGTATGGCCTTGCCTTAAGGTATGTGAAGTTCTCCCTTCATGCTTGGGATGGCATGGCTCGTAAGCTTGGTGTCAAGGAATGTGATGTCCCTGTCCCATGCCAGGCTCTGACATTAGCTGGTGACACATACTACATGCTCTCAAAGGCATGGGATGAAGTAGCCAGTCACATTGAAGACTATAACAATGTCATTTCAGCACACCAGGACATGCTTTCACTCCTTTCCAATATTTTACCAGCACAAGGTGAGTAGTGTTAGCTGTATATTCATTGATGTGGCTTGTGTTATGTTTTTGAATTTTGTATCTGCATTTTTATTTCTATTTTAGAGAGTCAACAGACTGATTTTTATTATCATACATGTAGTGGCATTCATTTGCAGACAGTTAAGGGCAGTATGATAGTATTTTGTCTGGAATTTTTGACATTCTCTGAATCAGTATTTTGCAAAGCTTCAGTTATCTCCCCCTCAGTGATAAAGTATTTAGTAACAATATTTCTAAGGTTATTTCTGAAATATGATAGTGATGAACATTTTCATCTGAAATAGATCTTCAAAATGTGCAATACTAGCCAAACCTTTTGTTTTATGTAGCAGAAAATGCCCAATATCACAATACAAAAGTTCAAGGAAACAGTAAAGTATGTGTAATCTAATCACCTATACTTTGTTTTGGATATATTTGCCAGTATTTTATACTTTATATTTAGGTTTTATTTTGACATGCAAATACTACTTTGGTTCCAGAGGTTGAGTTCTTGGAGTAAAAGAAGAAACTTGTGTTTACGTTGTGTTACTATTACTATTACCCAAGTAGCTGTACAGAGCCTAGAATACAATTATAGCTAATAATACTTGGTATGAACTATTTTAAAATAAGCATTCTCATCATTCTTTTTTCTTCTCCTTTGTTCTGCTAATAAGACCTTTGCAATCCAGAGTGCAACTGGACCATCAAACTAGCCTGTGATGTTGAGGAGGCCCTAAGGCTTAGTTCCATGTGCTTTGAGAAGGCCCTCTCATCTGCTGACCCTCAAACAGCTGTTCATCTCTCACGCCGGCTGGGGAACATCTGCAACGAGCTTGGTGTCATGTACATGAATCAGGCATCAAGTAATGACTACTGGTTGTTTGTTTGGTTTTCTGATTAGTGCATCTAGTTTGTCGTGTTAATGAGAAACAGTATAGAGAATTTTGCAGGAGATTACTCCTTTTTTGTGACTGGTGGATACATATTTTGGATGCTTATCCAACTAGTATTGTGTAAATATATAGCATGCAATATTAGTGAAGAACTCACACAGGATACAAATATTCATAAACTGCTCTGTGGGAAGAAGTTCTATAAAAGACTCCATAGACTGGTTTAAAACATCCAAATGCAGATGATAGTATCACTTACATGCTCTTTCTCCATCACCCACAGAACTCTGTGAGGAAAATGACATTGGATTCCAAGCTGCGGAAGAACTCTGGCAGAGAAGTGCCGAAGTCCTGAACCGTGGAATCACAAATTTTACACGTGTTGGTGATGTAACCAATATAGCCCTCCTGCATTCCAACACAGGTCGTCTGCTCCGACTCTGTGCATTCTATTGTGTCCCCAAAGAAGGTGTGAGGGAGTTCTCCAAGCAGGAAAGACACTATTATGATCAAGTAAGATTTGATATCCAATACAATATTTGTCTTGAGGAATTTGTCCTGCAAAGACAATATACACTCTGTCAATTTATTTGATGTATACAGAAAGTATATGCTGTGGAATTTGATATCCATAGATAATAAAAGTTGAAAATTATTTTATGACAACTTTGTTAAAGCAAAACTTTGACCATTTTGCTAATGAATTTGTTAAACATATGCATTCATAATATTTACAATGCTGAAATATTTTGCTTTTCTTTGTATCTTTTCTTTGATCTACATTTTCACATAATTTCTTTATTGTCTTCCTCAGTTAGCAGCAAAATTACTTGCTTGGTGTCACTATTAGATACAGGCTCTTAAAGTGAAGGGAAACCATTTTTTTTTTTCAAACCTTTGTTTATAAAGTACAGTTACAAGCTTTTAGGTGCCAAACAAAAATGGGGGAAACTGCCAGTGCCCACCAGTAGACCTCCATCATATTGGTCATTATCCAATTTTTAAGGAAATTATACAAGAGAATTTTTTTTTATACATTAACTAATGTTTTTCAATTTTTTTTCTGTTGTTTAACAGCTTTGTTGTTGTTAATGTTCATGTTGCTGTTGTGAGCTTTTATGATTATCCCTCATTTCAGGCAATAAAAGAATACCAGAAAGCGTTAGAAGTCTTAAAGTCTCGGAAAAAGTGTCCAGACATTTGGGATCTGGTTGTGTGGGAATTTAGCACAACTTTATATACCATAGCATCCTTGTTACAAGACCATCCACCACTGGAATTAAAGGTTGGTAACAAGGGCAATTAATCGTTCTGTGTTGCACAAAATCACTCATAGTGATTTTGAGTCAGTTTTTGTCATGTGAAGTCTTTGACTAAAAGACTGTATAAAATTTAATGTAAATCACAATAATGCCTGTTTCATTTTCTTCTGCCTTTTCTTCTAAAACCATTATAACATAACTCTTTTTGTCTTCAGCCTGGTGAAGAACACAGTCGTGAAGTTATGGACCTTCTCACCAAAGCTCTTAAGCACTGTGACGTGAAAACACCAGGAGCCCGACAGCCTCTGTACCAGTACCGTGCAGCAGTTATTTATATGCGGCTCGCAGGCATCTATCACAATGCAGTGAGGTGAGTTATGCTGGCAATGTAGGGTATTTTGTGAAATGAATGATGATCTGTTTTTCACCTATAATGTGTAAGATATTATGCAAAAAATACATTAATACAAATATTCTGATGCCTTTGTGCTGGTTTATATTTTATGCAAAGCAGTTCCTCATACAAATATTTCTGAAACATTCTTGGAGTATGAAAAGTGATAGGCAGTGTTAATTTTGCTTCATGTGTTTTTCTCCTGTTATTCTTTAAATTCAGACATAGCCAGGGAGATAAGAAAACCATGAGGCATCTGGCAGAGCTCAACTACAGCAAGGCAGCTGCTCTCTTTATGCAGCTGGAGAACCCAATAGATATTCTCAAAGTACAACTGGATCAGGCAGTGCTCATAGAAGATCAAATGTCAGGTGAGTGAATGAGTGAGCGTTGTGTGTTTTAATTTAATGTTTGTGTGTGTATGAATATTAAACTGACTAGTACTGGAATATATTTTATAGATTTTTTGCTTCACATTTCTCTACAGGAGCTTTGACTCTACTATTTTACTACATTTTTTGGGATATATTCAGTTAATGTGTAGAATACAGTTTTTAAAGTAAAAATGTGGATTTAATTTTATGCTCTTGATAAGTGAGGGAACATGACAGTGAGTACTACAAATAGAATTTCATGTGAGTAAAAAGCTGATATGTATATATATAAAAATAAAATATATCCTAGGATTCATAGGAATTTCTTGTGAGTAGAAAGCAGATGACCAATAGTTCTGCCATCAGTGGATCAGCCTATTCATTCCTTATTAATTTCTTCTCTATTTTTCACAACTTTTCCTTAGGGACAGCAAACACCCCGATCACCATGAAACTCCACTTTTCAATCCTTCAACTACTGATGGAGTCCATCTCTGCGCTGAAAATCATCACCCAGACTGTAGCCAAGCCAAAGACAAACCTCCTGGGAGCAGAAGGCAACTCAGGGGAGCCTGCTGCAAGCTGCAGTGCCAACCCTAGAGAAAAGTTTCACACTGGAAGCCCCAGCAGAAATAAGGCAGGAGACAATAACAATGGAGAGGAGAAAGAGATTCAACCCCAGACCGAGGCTGTGATATATGATGATGAAGAGAGCCAGGAGAAGATACTGGCACTCTTAAAAGTCTTTGAGAAGAAGCTGCAGAACTCACTCATGTCGCTCATTAAGTTGTATGCTCAGTCAAAGGGCTCAAAAAAGAGGTAAGATTTCTGGAGTTCATTAGTGGTGACAGGATTTTTTTTTCTCTCTCTCTTCTCCTCCTCCTCCTCCTTTTAGACCATTTTCATATAAATATTGCCCACAGATAATATGACATTTAAATTATGAACTAAATATTTGAAATATAGAAAAATTGTCTTATCATATATGAAGTATAGCTAGTTGAATTAGGTAGGATTTAAGCAAATATGAAATATTTTAAAAGAATCTCCATTAATGCCAATCACATTCACAGCAGCAGCTACAGTGGCAACGAGGTGACCTTGTTAAAGCAGATGTATAGCCTCAGCCTGAACACTCAGTCCCTTCCTTTGGGATCCCACCTCCTGACAGCTGTGACTGCCATCAGTCCTCTGTTCAACCAGATCCGCCCCCGAAGATGATGCCAAACATTTGCTCGAGTTCCGTCCACTTATTCAGTTCAAGACTCGGTTTTATTTTGAGTGGATGTTTCATAGTTTCCCAAAAGCTGTGTTACCTGAAATCATTTCAGTTGTAGATTTTCGTTTCTAAATGATATCCCGCATTCTGATTACTTCGTAAGGGCGTTATTTTCATTAATAGTATGGAATATCTTTTAGTTCGTGGTTTTCACACGTTTGCATTAATTAATGATGGTAATTACTTTCATTATCAGAATCTAGTGAGTCTCTCTGTGTATACTCGGACATGATCTCATCTTAACCCAAACTTTCTTTCATTCCTGAGTTTCTTTCATAGATTTTTTGTGTTCATTATGGTCAGGTTATTTTTATAAAAAGAGTAAATATGCAAGTTTTTCCCCATAACATTGTTTTTTTTCTTTCTATAGGTTTTCCAGAAAATTCATGGTGATATGATTTTTAGTTTAGATTTTCATGGTTTGAATGGAGAGTGTCTTCAGAATTACTCAGTATTGTCTTTTTTTCTTTTTTTTCTTTTTCCTTCTTTTAATTTTTTTATGAGCTTATCAGCAGTGTTCAAAAAGTTGTGCCAATTAGGAAGTTGGAAAGAACTGATGTTTGGAGGCAGAATTTTTTTTTCTCATTCCTTAAATATTGATAGTAATGTGACTGTTGTTTTTTTTCTTTTATTATTGCTTTTCAATTATTATTAGGAGTAGTATGGTTATTCTTATTATCATCATCATTATCGTAATTTGATATGACAAAAATGATTAAAAAAATATTTTTTTTTATTGCGGTTATTACAGGTTTGATTTCTTTTTCTTTCTCTTTTTTTCTTGTTTTTATAAAGCTAGTATGATGTAAAGAGGTGCACTTTCTCATTTATATATAATTATGAGTTCATGATAGGAAATAGCATTTTTTTTTCTTTTTAATGCTATTGGGATGTGTGATACATGATATTTTTGTGGAAATATCATACAGTAACATGCCACTCATATGGAAGAAAAATATTGAGTTGCATCAGCGATAAGAAGTTGTTTTGTATGTTAGAAATTGAGTAATCCTCAAATTTCTAATTGTGATATGATTTGTATGTAGATGCAGAAATAACTAAACTACATAGTGTATTTATTTTCTTTTGTAGTTATGCTTTTAACCTGTGCCTACAGTGAGTTCGGTTTATTAAGTATATTTACGGATAAATGGTTCCACAAGGACTTAGTCACCAGTGAGTCAGTCAGTAGTCTGACCTATCTCACTTCTTTGCCTTTCCTTGGTTTTGGCATTTGATTTTTTCTAATAGTGCTATTTATAAAGTCAATAACACTAATAATTTTGAGGTCAATAATAATAACGTGATTGATCTTGATTGCATTTGAAAAAAAATAAATCCTGAAAACTGATGGAAGGAGAAAATCTGGTAATGACATGTAGACTATCAATTGACTCTTTGGTGGCCGAGTGCTTGTGGAGCCACCATCCATGTGAAGATTCATTTCATACAAGAGTACAGTGAACATAACATTTTCCCTGTGGCATTGGGTTAATAAAGGAAAGGCTTTTTTTTTTTCTTCATAGTTTCTGCATAGGAGAAAATAAGAAATACTTTCCAGAAAAAAGCATTGTTTTTTCCCCAGTATCGTATCATCTAGAATATAGACAGCTAATAAACACAAAGCCTACATATTAAGTTCCTTGCAGATAAAAAATATTCTGCAACTTTAATACACTAAGATTAGCAATCAGTTAATCTTCATACATCCTATTTTTGAGCCATGGCAATTTAGTTTTTATTTATTTGCATTATTATTTATGCAGGTTTTCCACTGAGTGGTGTTTTACTGTACTTTTTTAATGGAGGATATTGGACATGTGAATTAATTTTGTTATCCCAGGGTAAGAGGATCACTGTATTAATTCTAATGAATGTATGAAGATCTATTTATTGAAACTGTTTTTTGTACATGAATGAGCTCTGTAGTGTATAATAATCTTGAGTAAACAAGATGTGATATCATGGAACATTTTCTTTTCCTTCATATGTAGTGATTATGTATTTTATAAAAATTCCTTTGTAGCCAGTAGGACAGTGTCTTCTTTCAAAGGAATTTGGCTTTAGTGGCAATATAGTATTGTCTTAATGTGAAGGTGTCAAACTCCTGGTCCTTGAAATTATCATATGTGACCCATAGGGTAAGAGAAGAATTATTGGCCTGTGAAATTATAATCATAATGAAGGAAAGTAATTGGTTGGAAATTTATAAATAACCTTTTTTCATAATGGTAATAATTTCACTTCATAAGTAAAATAAACAGGCATGTAAGATCAATTACCTAATAAGGGATTAAGGTATGTAATATTTGCTGGCCCTCAAAATGGTAACTGAAACAAAAATTGGCCCTTCATAGGTTTCAAGTCTGACACCCCTGCTCTATGGGGATACCCTTTCTAATCTAGAACCATAAGCAGAAGTCAAACCCATTTTGCCTTGGAACCTGCCTGGTTCCAAGTTCTGTATGCTACCATTGTATCATGGTGGCCTCCACCCTTTTTTCTTTCACATGTATACTTGAACCAAGAACCAGGTTATCGTTACATTATGAGACGTGATTTGAAGAAATGTGAAAATATCTGTAAAACGAGAACTTTACTAAAAGAGGACTGTCGGAAATAAGCTTAACCAATGGCAAATTACATTTTTTTCTTCTAAAAAAGTATAGTAAAGAACATAGTGACAGAAAGCACAAATTCAAGACGGAGTATATATGTAACATGAATACATATATCTGTATCCTATATATGTGTCAGAGTATTTTAATCTCAGTATCATGTAGACCCATGTGTTAAATTTATGCATGGGAAAGCAGACCATAACTTAATTATTCCATTTATTTTTGTTTGCAAAAGCTAAACAGATTAAGACATCAGCGAGAGGACAAAATTTAGTATTTCAGTATTATAGTTTTATGGTCTACTGACTTCTTGGTCTGAGTAATGAACTACACTACCAATGTAAAGCTCTACGACTTCAATATCCACGCCGCAAGCACGTACCACCAAACAAGTTCTAGCAAGTCCCCAAGGTCTTGGATCTTGGTCTTGGTCCAAAAGACCTCTAGACTCAGGGGCTTTGCTTCACTTCTAAATGCATCTAGAGCCACCACTAGGGTTTCCAAAGACTCATCAGCAAAGTCAAGGTCATTAACCTTGATATTGCCAAGAGTTGCTCCACTATGACTTTGGACAGTAACTCTGCCCAGTATCCAGACCATGCAAGTGTTGAAGAATGTTGGTGCAGGAACTAACAGGAAAGAAGCTCGACAGGCCCCCATCACACTTTACAGCACTTTCAGTAGGAGTATACAGGCTTGATATTAATCCGATAATCATTGTTGGAATTACTCTCAATCTCAGGATCTCCCAGAGTGACTCCCGATGCACCATATCGAACGCTCTCTTGAGGTCGATGTAGGCTGCAAATAGCCCATGCCCGAACTCACGGCGGAGCTCTACAATGACTCAAAGCGCCAGGATATGGTCTATTGTGGATTTACCCG